GAAATCAGATATCAATTAATGCTTTTGCAATACCATATAGAAACAAGCCATGCATGGCACAGTACCCGTCAGTTATAAAATTTAAGATATATAGTTTTATTTATAGTAATATAGTTGGATCATAAACAATTCAGAAGTATAGATCCAAAAGATGATGCTTGATTGTATAATGTATGTGTGAAGTTTGATTGTGATTGGTCCAGGCATGTCTAAAATACAGGTCCACATGGACGCACAGATGCACAAAGGTCAAAACATAAGTCCCCATTTTCGGACTGCATCCGAACGGGCACTAATGATACTGTAGAAAAAAGTAGATCTAACACTGTATCAGTATAGATATAATATGAGATTTAACAATTTATTAAAAAATCTACATTGAAAATGTGATCATTTCAGTCAAATAATATCAGCTATGAATGTTTTTATAATTTCAGGTTCTGGTAGTTCTTACATCAGCGGTTACATCGATGCATATTATCACAATCAAATGACAAAAAATGAGTGCATGAATTTCACAACAAATGGTGAGTCATTCCAAACTGTTTTTTTCAAAACGTCAAAAATTCACAGCTTGACGGATTAATTGGTATGGGTTGTGTAAAGATATTGAATTGAAAATCTTGGAAAATAAATAAACATGCTGCCAATGCATCTCTGAGACCTACAATTTATTAATGACCACCCCAAATAAAATGCAAGAAATGTATTCCACTGAGATACTACCAGTACACACTATGATTCCAGTGCTAATTTTGGTGTTGAGAAGCTGCCAAGCCAGCATACACAATTTTCATTTGCTCCATTCTTAACAAATATAATTATTTCACTGGTTTAATAAATCAATATAAGAACAAATATAATCCTACTTTCTAAACTCAGACCTTTATAGCGAACTGATGAAAAATTTATGTAGGTATTGGCTACGTTTTTTTTTTTTTATATTTATATTCTTTCATATATACAATATTTAGGTTCCATTTTTAATATTAATACCGGATTCTGCCGTAAATTCGCCCAGGGCCGCTAAACGGCAGTTCGGGTTTTTAAAAAAATAAAATGGGACCAAGAAACCGCCAAGGCCATTTTTCGGCAGTTTTTTAAGGTGTTATTTTAATTTTTTTTGATGCCTAAAAGTTTCGCCGTAGTCATTGCCGCCTATTCAAAAGTATTGATATTTATTGCGACAAGCGTGAATGGGTTAGCTTCATTTCGACGATGACCTGTTATCGGTGTAAACAAGTCATTGAAAATGACACAGTCCCCGTTAAATTTTTGAAAGTTCTCTTTGTGCTCGTCATATTCAAGTGGAGGGGTCGTCGCGAGCGTGTCCTTGAAACTTAAGTTCCAAGTGGTGTATACAACAGATTGTTTATTTACATCAAAACACGTGTTCTGTGTAGTAGTAATATAGCCAAAAATTAAAACAGCCGTTATTCGGCCATCTTTGATCTGATTATGAAACACACTGATATGTATGATGTATGTGCCAAATATGAGTGAAAATGGTATATAAATTGTGGAAATATAGTAGTAAGGCCAAAAAGTCAGATGGCTGTCAATCGGCCATCCTTGACCAGATTTTGAAACAAATTGTCATGGACATGCATCCTAACATGTATATAAAAGTACATGTATGTGCCAAATTTGAATGAAAACTGACAGAGCACGTCCAAGATACCGCATATAAAAAAACCAAGATGCCTGCCAGTTGACCATCTTTGATACAATTGCGAAATAAATCGTCATGGACATGTATCCTAACATGTATGATCTATGTACCAAGTTTGAATGACAAAGCATGTCCAAAG